GCCTTAATGATACCTGCAAGTGACCTCAATACCGCCCCAGGACGGCCCCAAGAGCCCTCCGAGCCTCCTTAGAGCCCCCAGGAATCCAAAATCCTTCAAAACCGGTGTGTTGTCCAATGCGTTTGGCCTTCTCGCCTTTTCGCTTCCCAAGGGCTTCTCGCCTTTTCGCTTCCCAAGGGCTTTCCAAAACTCAAGATGGCCCCAAGAGGACCCAAGATGGGCCCATGATGGCCCCAAGACGGCCCCAAGACCCCGAAGAGCGCACCAGTAAGGCCCCTAGAGGCGAGGCGAATTTTCGGGCCCAGATGGGGGTACCCTGATCTACGCCGCTCTATGTTTTGCTCGACGGCCTCCAATATGTCCCCAAGAGGGCCTCCAAGGCCTCCAGGAGGGCTCCAAGAGAGCCCCAAGAACGCCCCAGAAGGCCCCAAGAGAGACCTTATTAGAGAGCCCAAGAGGCATTCCTCCAAGATGCTCACCAAAGGGCCCCCCGATGGCCTTCAAAGGCCTCCAAGACGCTCCCAGAGCGAAAGATCGCAAAATTCTCTTGATATTGTCTCCTGTCGTCGTCGTCGTCGTCGTCCCGCGCTTCCTGCGGCTGCCTTGGTTGAACGGCTGTCTGTCGGCCCTCCCTGCACGCCAGACGACCAGCGCGCGCGTCGGCGGTGCTCGCGCGCCAAACGCAGCGCACGCACGGCGAGCGAGCAGAGCAGCAGCGGCAGGCCACCCTACCACTTGCCGTCGCTCGGACGTCCATTTCCCGTGCATTTGTCGGTTTCGTGCATGGTCCTCGATGGTTCTTGCCGAGAAAAAATGCCCACGTCCGAGCGATGCCAAGACCAAGGCGGCCCCCGGGCACGCACAGAGTAATGCGGGCACCGCAGGCAACGACAGGCAACCGCTCACCGAGGTGCTGCACATCCCTTATCAGGGCAACTCGCCTGGTGGATGCTCGTGGATTGGTCCATGGGGACACACGAAGCGTCCATCATCATCCTGGGCATGAGCTGCCGACATCCGGCATCTACGTCAACAACTCTTGAGGTCTGGTCACGTAACGGGTTCCAACAAACCCAGAGGTCCGATGCCGTGATGTGTTCAATGCGCGGTCCCCGGAAGTCTCGACCCATTCCCCAGGACCGGTTTTTCATCCTGAGTCGTTTTTTGACGGTCCCGAGGCCCGGCGAGGGCCCCTAGGGGCCGAAATGTGCGAAACACCTCCGTCGTCGGATCTCTGGGGACATGTCCTCCAGGCATTATCACACGTGCCTGTTTCGCTGCTCGTCGCAGCTTGTCGTGGGCGAACAACTTGCGCCCGCAAAAGCCTGGCACCACGGAGTGCCCGCATGGACATTTGACATCGATGGGCCTGTTTTCCACCACCACCACCACCACCAAATTCAAGCCGTTCGACAAGCATGATACCTGGAAGTCGATCTCGGCGGTGGTCGACGAACTGCCCGCGCAACCCGAGCGTCTCGAGTGGTCAAGGCCAAGGCTCGGAACAGAAGGTTGCGAGGCCACGCTTTCGCCTCCAAGTGCTACTTGGTCACCAAGCGTGTGCAGATTGCAGGCCCCCAAACTTCAGCGGCATACGCACAACAGGTGCACGGCATCTTCGGCACTGAGCTGCGCAACATGCGTCGTCAGATCGGTGCGGTAGCCGGTGCGTCCCAGCGTGGGCGCTGTTTAACTACGCTCTTGGATCTTCGCGCCTTCGGTCGAGACCCCGCTGTGAGATTACCTCGATGATGTCTCAAGCAGTGGTTAGACACGTGGGTGGAGCATGCTGAGATTCGCAATGGAGTACGTCAGATTTGGAGCAGACTCGTCGCATCCATCAAATCTATGCCAGTACAAGAAAGATCACGGCATGTGCGAGGATCTGTGTCGGCAGTTGTCACCTACCTAGTGAATGCAGGGTGGCACCCCCAGACACCGTCGCGCTGGAATAGACTTGCACGCCATGGTTATTCAGAAGTTGACTGGATTTTCGATGACGACATCATAGCCTCCAAGCACGTGGATACGTCTGACTTTCTCTTTGATTTCACAGAACTGCTAGCAGGAGACCTTTGGCAACGGGCTTCTCAGGAATTCTGCGGAGAGGGCCTTGAGCACGGCGCGGACAACGAGTCGCTGCGCACGCTCCTTGTTCGTCTTCGGGAGATGCCTCACGGAGCCAAGCTTGCGGAGCTCCTGCTCACCATTTCCACAGGCGGCTGCTGGACAAGGCAGCGCAAGTATGATTGTGGCCTCTGCAATTCACCCATTTGCTTGAGGTGCAAGGAAGCACCAGAGACGATGCTACACAGAGGTTGGCTTTGTCGAACTAATCGCGGTGCCACGGCCTACAGCTCCACGGACGACATCGTTCCTGAGGCGCTGGCGCAGGCCGAAGCTACACCTCCTTTCTGGCTTCGAGGAGTCACCCCAGCAGGTCACGCCCGTGCGACACCGCCTGCTGAAGTCGAGCAGCTGGTCATCACCAACTCCAACATCGAGTCGCTGACGCCTGGGAGTTTGGGCACGGGCACCACCGACGCCCCGCTCCTTATCTGCGGCGACGCCTCAGGGGGTGGTGACAGCCGCTTTCCGACGCTCAGACGGGTCGGCATTGGTTTAGCTGTGATTTCAGATACCGTACACGCTGCAATCAGTACCACAGTCTCAAGCCCTTTGACAGGGCGCGTTCAGTCCGTCCCTCGAGGAGAGTTGCGTGCCCTGGAATGGGCAGCTCGAGGTTCGGTCGGACCCACAATCTTTGTGACCGACAATGAGGCCGTCAGCAGAGGCTGGTACGACAAGCAGTACATCAGTTGCACAGGAGAGTTAAGTTGTTTATGGAGTGAAGTTGGCTAGCACGTCAAGAACAGGGCCCCGTCGGAGTTCGTAGTCCTTCAGATCCCTTCGCACCTTTCAGCTGAAGATGCGGCCAGGAAATATGTTGAAAACTGGATGCTAATTGGAAACGCTGTTGCTGATGCGCTAGCAGAAAGCGCCGCAGAGAGGCACATAATCGATGCGTCCATCCGTGCTCGGACATGTGATTGTGAACGCAAAGCGGGACTTGTTCGGAGGCGACTTCTGCGAGCCTCCTTCGAGGCAGCAGCTGCTGAAAAAGCCGCTGAGCGTGACGCCCGTATGTCCATAGCTCGTGGTGACACTGAGGCTATTACCCCTCCGCCTCCCCCTCCTCCTCCTCCTATTAAGCCTATAGTTGCCGCACGTTTCAGCACATCCCACACCCTCAGGGAGTGTGGGCTTAAATGCACCCGTTGTTGTACTAGTGCTACTCTACCCACTGCTAAGGAGTGGTTAGGCACGCCCTGCTTCGATCTCATTGCTGTCGATTCGGTCGTCTCACACAAGCCTACGGGGGTCAGGCTGCACCTAGCTGGGGGGGTGGGCGCATGAATCGCACGAATTACATTATCACCACACTCTGTGGCTCTGGTTCTGCGGGAAGTGCGGTTTCTTTTGTTCCCACAACCTTCGGAACGATCTCAATGAGTCGTGCCACAAGCCCCTGAATCGGACCAGGCGCGAGTACCTGGATCGTATCAGGCGAGGTCTTGTGCCCAATGTTTGGAGTGCTGCCGAGAAGGCAGCCCGCTCTCATACAGATTGATATGACACCGTCATGTTGCTATTCCTATTCCTATTTCTATTCTTATTCCTCGTCCTCCTCCTCCCCCCTCCAACTTATGGTGGTGGTGGTGAAGCACAGGCCTATCAACCATTGCACGTCAGTGTCCGTCGAAGGGAGTACCCAGACATCCAACTGCTCCATTTTTTGAGGGCGTGGATCCCCGAGGTCCGGACCACAGACATTCGGCTGCTCCAATTTTTCTGGTGCGTGGATCCTGGACGTCCAGACCACCTCCGGTGTTCCGTCCTGAGCTGTTATTTGACGCTCGTCGTCCTCCTCCTCCTCCTCCTCCTCCTCCTCCTCCTCCTCCTTAGGTCCAGACGGACCACTTCCCTGGGGCTGGTTTCTCGTCCCGAATCGTTCCTGACGCCCCCGAAGCCCGGCGAGGACCTCCGGAGGCCGAAAACGGCCAGAAACCACCTACTCCAATTTTTGTTGGAGCGTCGGATCTCAGGGTACAGTCGGGGCGCTGAAGAAGGAACCCTTTTCGTTGGGGAGGGCTCGGTGTTCCTTGATTGTTTTACAGTTTGCCTTGGGTTTCCCTTAGGTTTTCCCTGGGAAATCGAAGTTCAACTTTTGGGGAAAAAAAGACTCGTTTCTTATTTCGGGTTCCTTAAGTCAGCGCCCCGACTGTATGAACAAATTGCTGCCTCGTTGTCGTCCGATCGAGCTCGCGACCGCCAGGACGGCCCCCGGCGGAGTGTCGTGGGCTCTCGACGCCAGAACGCCCTTGAAGCCTTCGACCAGCCAGCGTTAAGTCGGGCCTGACCCCCTACAGGGGGATCTTCGATGAAAAATTAAACATACCCACACAGTACCCCCAAATTGCTATACAAAAAAAATCGTCCCCAGACTTTTTGTTGACTACTTTTGAATATTCCCCCTGTAGAGGGACAGGACCGACTTAAAGCCAGTGTACCAAAGAGTGGCAGAGAGTGGACATCTCATGCGTAGCGGTCTGCCGCGCACCGTCAGAGAATGGCTACACCCTGCTCGCTCTCGAATGCACGCATCGGATCGTCCTGGGCCCCAGAAAACGCGGTCAAATTTCGGAAATCTTGATCTGGACGGCACCTTGACGAGTCCTACCAATCAAATCATTTCAAGAGCCCGGCTCTTGATGGCAAGGCATTATATGATGTGGGCGAGCCTAACGTAAGAGTGAACAACGAAGTCTGCTGCCATTGCGGGGATGGACGGGGACAGCGCAGTGCTGATTTACACGGCAACGCCGCCAAAGGGGGAGTGAGGAAGCGAGCGGAAGAACAAGGTAAGAGTCGCAACGGTACATCAGGATGGCCACGGGTAAGTAAGGAGCGTGGGAGCGAGCAACGTTCTGCCATGGAGCCTTGCCGGCGTAGTAATATGTCCAACCCATTCGTTTTGCAGTGGTGGCGTCGGACGGCAACACAGAGTCCTCGTCGGAACATACCTTGCGAGAAACCAAAAACCTCCTGCAGCTGCTCCTCCTTCTCCTCCCGAAGACCGCCACTGACATGCCCCTGGGACCTTCGGGATGTCACGTCTTCATCCTTGCTCATACTGCTCTGGAGGAAACCTTCTGGAGGGCGTGGGAGGGGAAGCGAGGGGGAGGGGGAGGGGGAGGAGGGGGGGGCCCAGGGGGAAGGGGGGAGGAGGGAGGGGCGAGGAGGGAGGAGGGAGGGACAAGGGAGGCTGCATGCCCGGCTGGGGCCCCACATCGGAGGGCTCCCGAAGGATTTTCCGTTCGGCCGCCCGCCTGGAGAGCGACGAGGAACAATGTTGAACCCCTGAGATCCGACGTTCCAAAAAAATTGGAGCAAACGGATTTTGGCACTTTTCGGCCTCCGGGGGCCCTCGCCGGGCCTCGGGAGCGTCAAAAAATGGCTCAGGACGAAAAACTGGCTCCAGGGAAGGTGTCCGGACCTCCAGGGCCCACGCATCGAGAAAATTGGAGCAGCCGGATGTCTGGGACTGTGGATGTGTAAGCTATGTGGTGCAAACTATGTGGTGGAAGTTACGCGGTGCAGTTTGCCAACCCTTGAATCCCACCAGCCCTTTGAGCTAAGGTGGTCTAGCGATACCTGTCTCTCCTCCTCCCAAGCCCTCCTCCCTTCGGGGAGGCGTACCCTTCCCCTCCCCTCCCTGAGGTTTTTGTGGGCGGCGATCGGTCAGGGCGCCCAAGATGGCTCCAACAGGACCTCCGATGCTCTAAGAGGGCCTCCAAGACGGCTCAAGATAGCAGAAGATGGAGCGAGATAACTTTCGACATACCTCTGAGAGGCCCGTCGACGGCCACACGACGGTTCCAATTGCCCTCGGAGCCCCTCAAGAGGCCCAAACCCTTCAAACACCCAGATTAATTATGTCAGTGATGTTTGCCTTCTCGCACTTTGGCTTCCGATGCGCTTTGCTTTGAGGGCCTCAAAATGGCCCCAAGATGCCCAAAGAGGGACCCAGGAGGCCCCCCAAACAGCCCCAAGAGCGCCCAATTCAGGACCCCCTCGTCCTTGCTCGATAGCCTCCAAGATGGCCACAAGATGCCCTCCAGGGCTCCCGTGAGGGCCCCAAGAATGCCCCAAGAGCGTCCCACGAGGGCCCCAAGAGGCGGTTTGCCTCCTCCTCCTCCTCCTCCTCCTCCTCCTCCCCTCGCCCCCGTTATTCATGGATCAGCCGAACTTTACTTCATTCAATGTGTCTCTTCGTCCTTTTTCCCGTCAGCTCTCGTGGGCAAGGTTTCTGAAGGGCCTGGTTGGGATACGAGGATTGCCAACTCCACTGCTCGCGCAATCGTCCCACCCTCCCACCCGCAACCTGGCTTGCAAAACCCATGCGGCGACGACTGCGACGCCTCCTCGGCCATGGCTGGCGCATCTCTGCGGCCGCGCTTGCGCGCGCAAGCTCGTAGAAGAAGAAAGAACGCCATAAACATAAACTTTTGGCGCTCCGCGCAGATTTCTTGGATCTGCGCTGGACCCCCTCCGCGGCGCGCTCCGCGCGCCAGGGGCGGCGCCGGAGGCGCCGCCGGGAGGGCCCAGGCGCGGATTAGAGAAAGCCGCGCAGAGCGCCAAAAGTTTATGTTTGTGGTGTTTTGTCTTCTGCGATAGTGCGGCCAGATGTTTTGGCACAAACGATGCGGCCGCGATGGCGCTTACCGATGGCAGCGCCCCAGCGCGTGCCAAAGGACAATGCCGGCGCGCGGGCACGCCCGATGCGGGACGGTGACTCGGGCGGGTGCGGCATCATGACGACGCCGACAACAGCGGCAGCGATGACAAGAGTAGCGATGGTGATGATGATGATGATGATGATGATCCACGCATCCAAGAAGGTCTGGAGCTCCCCGCTCGACACAGCCTCCCGAAGCCATGGCCTTTCCCTCTGGCGCTGCGGACGCAAGGCCTGGCCCGTGCCCAAGGCACACTCGCAGACTCGCCTGAAAGCCTTGAGGCCGCCGACCGCCCCAGCCAAAGGCAGGCGGTCAGCAAAGCATCCGAGCCCTCACGGCGACTCAGCTCGCAGACAGCTCGGCGCGCCACACCAGAGCAACAGTCCCCCAGGCACCAGGCCACAGACGGGGACGACTTGCTCTGAGGTGACATTCGGAGGCGATCCTGGCGGTCGGCCACAGCCTACCACCACGGCTCGGCCTCCGCCTGGCGCGGCACAGAGCACAGAGCGGGCTGGGGCGCAGCAAGCTGCGCGGGCTGACGCGCCCAAGGCGCGCCAGCGGCTACATTGAACGGAGGCGCCGAAGGCGCCGAGCGTAAGACGCTGCCCAAGAGGGGCGGGAGGGAGTGAACCCTGGCGTGCGCCGAGCCCCACGGGGTACAGCCTACGCCACGGGGGCCCCCCCCCCAGGGGCAGCAGCTCGGCGCAGGCATTCGTGATCCTTGGACCCGCCGGCGACACGAGCTCGGGCATCTGAGCGTCTAAGGCCTGGGGCGCCTCGAGTGGGGCCCCGAGGAGGAAGCTGGCCGCTGCGAGGGCCAACCGCGAGGCGGCCGCCGCCTCCAGAAGCTCGTCTGCAGACAAGAAGCCTGTGTCGATGCCATCGCCGCCGTAGGGAACGGATCGGCCGCCGACGTCGCCGAACCCGTCGCCGTTAGTTCCTGCAGGGGCAGTGGTGTCGCCCGCAGCAGCTGGGCCAGCGCCTCGGGGGACTCTGAGCCTCCCCCCCGCTGCGCAGTGCTGCTGGATGATCGCCTGCAGGTCGTCCAACTCGATCTCGCCCACGTGGACTCCAGGCGCCGCGGCGCCCTCGGGAACCACATCCACCGTGTCGCCCTCGAGCTCATCGGGCACGGGGGTCGCAGCCGCCCACTTCAGCTCGTCGGCGATGCGCCTCATGTCGGTGGGATCCCTGCCGTCCCACAGCCAAGTGAGAGCCCTGAAACCGATCGGGCAGTCGGTGAGAGCAGGCAGGGGAGGCAAGGCCCTGAGGCCCACAGTCCCGTCGAGGAGGACATCGGAAGTGTCGAACCCGTCGGAGAAATCGCAATCATCACCTCGATCCTCCACCACGAGGGACGAGAGCGAGCCATCGGATGCGTCGTCGTCGTGCTCGCCCGCGGCCGCTGACGCATCCGAGCTCATCGCGATGTACGCCTGCAGCTGCTCCCTGAGCGTGGCGAGCTTGTCCCGCAGCGCGTGCTCCGCAGCAGCCCAGCCTTCCCGTAGGGAGCGGATGTCCTGGGCCTGCTTCGCGACCAGAGCCCTGTACTGGGTGCGGTTCGACGCGGGATGGTGCAACTCCCCACTCAGCATGTCCAGCTGGTATTCGGAGCCGAAGCCGCGGCCCAGGTCCACGTCGGCGTTCGCGTCCCTGTGCTGCCTTGCGCCCTCCAGCTGCTGCAGGAGCGCCGCGTCCCGCAGCTCCGATTCCAGCGCCTCCGCGAGCCGACAGGGGCTGCTCTCGAAGGTCCAGGCGACCCCAGTTGAGGCCTGGCACAACCGCAGCCTGTCGGGCAGGGATAGCATGCCAACGATCCGTACCTGGAGCACCTCGGGCAGCGGGGCCAACAGGGCAGCGGCAGGCTTGAGCGCGGGCCGCTGTGCCGCCTCGAGCCGCTGGCGCAAGACCCGCCGCTGGCGATCGAGGTGATCCTCGCCCCCCAGGAGCTCCGTCTGGACGCTGCCGTCCACTGCCACGGCGACGACCTGGTTCGCGAAGCTCACGATGGGGGGGCGCCGCCATCCATCAGTGGCGGCAGCGCCGCCCAGCACTGGGCAGACCATGGCACCGGGAGCCTGGCAGTGCTCGTCGGGTGCCTCACCGTAGTCGCCGAAGGGCAGCGCGGCCGCCTCCTGGTGCGAGGGCAGCCAGCCCAGGCGGGGGCCTGCGGCGGCCCGCGAAAGGCCCGCTTCGGACGCGCGCGCGAATCCGCCCGCAGGGACCAGCAGCGCGTGCCACGCGGCGTTCCGCCGCCGCCGCATTGCGCCTGGGACGCGGAATCCCGCGGCGGCTCGGCGCAAGGCGGGGCGCGCAGCAGCCTCTCGGTCCTGCCAGGAACCTGGGCCGCCGCTGGCCGCCTTGCCGACTGCCGCCGTGGCGGCGAGGAGGCGCCGCGCCCGCGCCCGTCGGCGGGCCGCCGAGGCGCCTACCTCGGCCTCCTCCTTCCTGCGCAGCGCACTGCCACGCCTGGTGGGCCGCCCCGCCATCGCGCCTGCGGGCAGCCCCCCGTCGCCATTGCTCATCTCCCAGTCGCGCGCCGCTGACCGCTGGGCGTGGGCGCCAGCGAAAGTCCGGAGAAACAGCTTGAGCCAAAATGGCTACGGATGATGATGATGATGATGATGATGATGATGATGATGATGATGATGATGATGATGATGATGATGATGATGATGATGATGATGATGATGATGATGATGATGATGACGGCAAGGCCCATGCCGGCGCCGATGCTCCTCCTCCTCCTCGTCCTCCTCCTCCTCGAAGGTGCTTGAGTGATGGTGGCGGCGATTGCGGCGATCGACGACGACGAGATTCGGCGGCACTGATGATGATGACGAAGTGCGCCCGCGCGGAAATCCAAGAACTCTGGCAAGCTGTTTATGTTGTGTTTTGTGAGTGCTTGTAAAAAGGAAGTTTGCATACGTTCTTGAAGGGCTCTAGTTTTAGGTCGGGCCTGTCCCCCTACAAGGGGGTTTTGGTCGAAAAATGCAGCATACCATAAAATACTGCAAACATGCTGAAAAATATCAAACAAATCGTTCCCTATCTTTTTCCCAACCATCCTGTGGTGTTGGGTCCTCGTTTTGAAGAGACAACGCCGCGCGTCCCCCCCTCCTCCTCTTCCTCCTCCCGCTACCCCCAGTCCCTCTCCCCATCATCAGCATCACCGTCACCATCATCACCTCGACGCCCAAGAACAACAACACCATCACATTCATCATAATCATCATAACATCATCCTCGTCATCGTCATCATCATAACAAGCATGACAATC